ACGTACACACACACACACACACACACACAGAGTATAATCCCCTCTCTCTCTCTCTCTCTCTCTCTCTCTCTCTCTCTCTCGCATTCTGAAAGCCTTTTTGTGTTTAGGAAATTAAAAAAACACTCACTAGACTCAACCAATGATTACTCTGATGGTTCCGCATTAGATTAGTGATTGGTTGAAAGAGGCATTACTACGGCGAATGTGATTGGTGGAGTAGTGATGACTTAAAAGGCATGCTGGCAGTAGATTGGTTGAGGCGGTAGGATTAGGGAGGTGATTGGAGGTTATTGGAAGTGGTTAGGAAGACTCGTATGTAGTGGTAGTAGTAGTAGTAGTAGTAATTAGTTGTAGTAGTAGTAGTAAGTAGTGTTAGTAATAATAATTGGTGGTGGTGGCATAGTTGTGACGACAGACAGACAGACAGACAGACACACACACACACACACACACATATAAATACATACACACCCAAAAAACATACATACAGACACCAGACACACACAACAAAAAACACATTCCAAGCTCGATCAAGGAGGAAACTTCTCTGTAATTCCTTGTAACAGGATTTCTCTCTTCCCTCATTCACAACAACATATTTTGACGGTGTGAGGTGAACTTTGACCTTTGAGGAACTACCTGAAGATTAGGCATCCCAGTTTATTTCATCTGATGATTAACCACCCTAATGTTACTTGTGGGGGAGGGGTTAGGGTAGGTTAGGTTAGGTATACGTGAGGGTGTTTAATTACCAGGTACAGCAAACAGGGAGGAGGAGGAGGAGGGGGGGGGAGGGGTTGTGTCTATGTGATCTCTGGAGGTATTACACACACACACACACCCACACACACACCCACACACACCCACACACACACACACCCACACACACACACACACACACCCCAGACACACACACCCCAGACACACACACACCCCCCAGACACACACACACACACACCCCACACACACACACACCCACCCCCACACACACACACCCACACACCCCCCCACCCCCCCCACCCCCCCTCACACCCCCCCACACCCCACACACACACACACCCACACACCCCCCACACCCCTCACACCCCCACACCCCCCCCCTCACACCCCCCCACACCCCCCATCACACACACACACATACACACACACACACACTCTCTCTGTGTCTTTCTCTATTTTATACAAAGTCTCACCGATCACACATAAACTTAGGGAAACAAAGAATAGAGAAACAGAATCTATTAAAAGTTTTCTGTTGTTGTAATGTAGCTGAGGATAATGCCGGAGAGAGAGAGAGAGAGAGAGAGAGAGAGAGAGAGAGAGAGAGAGAGTCCACCTCACCTGGGCCGTATCTTCCTCACCTTTGTCCTCAGTTTCACCAAAAAAAAAAAAAAAATCTCTTCTACCAGGTAATCCTCCTACCCTCCCTCCCCCTTTCCCCCCCCTTCAAGAGCTTCGTACGAAATGTCACGTCCTGAACAAGTTATTCTCAAAACACCTCACTATTAATTACACACACACAAGTCATGTAGATAGTGTGGAATTAAGACTGGTTTAAGACATTATTAAGGTGTAAATTATATAAATACAATTATGTTAGATGTTTACAATAGTTTAATAATTATAATGTTTGTTGATAATGTTACACCGTGTTGATATTTCAGTAAGGATGATCAAGTCGACGTTTTTATTTAGTTCTGAAACTCACGTCGACGTTTTATTTAAACTTATCACAAACTTTATACCTCGTCTCCCTTGTTTATAAAAACCTTTGATTGTCTTTTGAAACAACTACTAACGAGACACTACTGGCGAACAAGAAACAAAAAAATAATTAACACAAACAAAAAATATTACTCGATTGTTTTATTTATTTATTTTTCTTGTTGAAGTTTGTGTTTGTTCGCCTGACATCACCTGTTATAGACCCGTCGACCTTTACGTCTCTTAATTAAAGGATATCAAGGAGCTATCACAGAGACCTCTTATCCTATCCCTATCCTTATCCTATCCCTATCCTAATCTACCCTATTCTATCTTATCCTATGCTATCCTTATCCCCTGTACGACATCCTATTCACAAACTAGCTCCTATTTATCAACTGGAGGACTTTTTACCCTCCTTTCATATATGAGAATTACTTATCATTAAATCCTATTATCTAATATACTATAGGACTAGGCGTGTGTCTGTCTGTCTGTCTGTTTGTCTGTGTGTCTGTTCTGGGCAGCCGAAACGGCACAATCGTTTTTCATCAAACTTGGTGGAAAAATCGCAAAAAATTCGTAGAGTAGAACAAACCTGGTCCCATATCGATGGTTTCTTTAGGAAGCCATTAATTAACCATTTTATTTACGCTGGAAAGCGATGCAAGTCTACGGACTTGGCGCACCCTCATTCGCTGTACGCTGTCAGCCAGCCGGCCGGCGACTGCACGCTAGCCAAGCACGAGCGTTCGAACTTTCACGCTTTGGTAAACTGTACCACCGGACTCGCCACCGGGCACGAAGTGCCCACGATCACTTGTTATTTCCGATTGCACTAGACAACTTTAGCTATTAAATTCTTGGCTAGTAAATTTCCCTCCCACTAAAACCCGGAGCATCTGACCATCACATAGTATATAATCGTGTGTGTGTGTGTGTGTGTGTGTGTGTGTGTTTACCGAAAATAAAACGAACGGAAACAGCTTGTGTGTTACTCTTTATCAGTGACATAATGTCTTGTGTCCTGTTTCTCACTCAAGTAAGGGGAAAAGGTGTGTGTGTGTGTGTGTGTGTGTGTGTGTGTGTGTGTGTGTGTGTGGAGTCGTGTGTGTGTGGTGGAGGAGAGAGTGGAGTCTGTTGTTGATTATAAAAGGCAGAAATAAATTTATAACGTTATGTGTAAGACAAAGGGAGGGAGGAGGAGGAGGAGGAGGAGGGAGGAGGAGGAGGAGGAGGAGGAGGAGGAGACGAAGAAGAAAGAACAAGACAGAAAAAAGAAGAACAACAAGCAGAACGAGAACAGGAATAACAAGAGGAGGAGAATAGAAGAAAAAAATATTGTATCTCACCCTAAGAAATATTTCCGAAGTATAACAACGAACTGTACACCTCCCTCTCGTTGTCTTGCTTAACATCCGTCCACGAGAAGCTCAAGAAAATACTAAGAAGGAAACAGTTTAGTGTTTCATAATTACATGTGTTTGTCATAGGTTTAGGTTAGGTTAGGTTTTGGTTTAAGTTACGTTAGGTTTTGGTTTAAGTTACGTTAGGTTTTGGTTAGGTTAGGTTTAGGTTAGGTTTACGTTAGGTTTAGGTTAGGTTACGTTAGGTTTTGGTTTAAGTTACGTTAGGTTTTGGTTAGGTTAGGCTTAGATTACGTTAGGTTTAGGTTAGGTTACGTTAGGTTTTGATTTAAGTTACGTTAGGTTTTGGTTAGGTTAGGTTAGGCTTAGATTACGTTAGGTTTAGGTTAGGTTACGTTAGGTTTTGGTTTAAGTTACGTTTGGTTTTGGTTAGGTTACGTTAGGTTTAGGTTAGGTTACGTTAGGTTTAGTTTCTCATCCATCAAATAACACTTCATAATGTTCTTAAACTTACATATTATTATACTTACTAATTAATGAATATCTCTATACATATTAATTTGGTCAAGGCATCTCGGGGGTTCTTGTCCTGTTCACATATTAACAAGCTTTACTAATTGTTTATAGACTCAATAACAACCTTAATCCTACCAATGAGGCTTAGCGATATTTTGAACCGGTTAATGGTAAATCCGTTCTCATAATCCCCTCCCAGTCACAAACACATACACATGCACACAGACTCATACAGACACACACACACACACACACACACAGAGTACACCCAAAACACGGTCATGGGTGGTAGTACTTCAACAGAGGGCGAGTGGGTGGGTGGCAGGACGATAGGGCGGCAAGATGGGTGGGTGGGTGGTTGATAAGGCAGCAGGATGTGTGGATGGTCAAATGGAGTGAGTGGAGTGGGCAGGTGGGTGGGTGGCAGGACATTGATAGGGCAAGATGGGTGGGTAGGTGGGTAGATGATAGGGCGGCAGGATGTGTGGGTGGGTGGGTAGGTAGGTGGGTAGGTGGGTGAGTGGGTGGCTAACGAGAGGGCGGCAGGCTGCGTGGGTTGATGGATGGGTGGGATGGATGGCAGGACGATACGGCGGCAGGGTGGTTGGGTGGGTGGCAGGGCGGCAGGATGGATGGCAGGCAAAAGGGAGGCCGCCGCCATATGTTTCCAAGAACTTAGTTTAATTACCAGAGTTATCAGATGAGGTCGAGGATTCTGGCCAAGAAAATGATATCCCACTTGACCCCCGTAGAATGAAAGTCCAACTCACAACACACGGGAATACAGACCTTAAGAGGTAAGTATTTTAAAGTTGTTTCAGGTTACCGAAATGAACGTACTTTCAGGTGATAATTATGGTGCGTATTGAGGCTACGATGACGTCATGACTTGCGTATGTTAAGGTCACTCAAGGAGGTGGTGGTGGTGGTGGTAGTTGTGGTAATGGTAATAGTGATGGTGGTGGTGGTGATGGTAGTAGCAATAGTGGTGGTAATAGTAACGATGATAGAAAAATGTAATGGTAGTGGTAGTAGTCGTAGTAGTAGGGTGTAATCATGTCAGCAACAGGCAGGTTGAGGCCAGCAGCACTTATCAGCAACAGGTGTCAGCATGAATGAGTGTCAGCTCGGGTACCATGAGCAGGCAGCCTGACATTGTTCCTGCCTTAATGAGGAGTTATGAGCCACGTGTGAGTGAGTGTGTGTGTGTGTGTGTGTGTGTGTGTGTGTGTGTGTGTGTGTGTGTGTGTGTGTGTCTCCATATTTATTTCTGCGTCAATTGAGCATCAGTCAATGTTTTAAAGTAGATGAATGAATGACGTTTAGCTTCAACAAAAGAGAGAGAGAGAGAAAGAGAGAGGTAGCCAGCGAATCTCCCAGAAGCACACCCGAGTTTAGTATGAGGCAAGGCCACTCAGACTAAGCCGGTGGTCGTCAGTCAGTCCACCATCAGAGCCGCTCAAGGGAAGACCTACACCTCGTTACCACTTCATTTTATCCTCTGTTTTCTCTTTATCTTCTTCTCTAACTTTACGAAATCTTGTGTGAAAAATGCAAAATGTGTTGAGAAAATATACATATCATAATTAAAATGAAAACCAGGTGATAGAACTATTAAAATTCAAACCCCTAGAAAAAAATATTAATAAATCGGTGTAGTGAAAAAAAAAAGAAAAAAAGAAATCTATTGAAACTACGAAAAAAAAAAACTGAATTAAAGTTATATAAAGTGAACTCTTGTCTTATCATCATGTTTTGCAATACTTAAAAGAACCCCCCCCTCTTCCCACCCTCCCCCCTCTCTCTCTCTCCCTCTCTCTCTCCCTCCCCCCCTCAAAAAACAAAACAAGAGGTCGGTGGCGCGTACAGGAAGTTGGTGATCTGGGACAGTAATTGGTGAGTACCCTGGTTCGCATCTTGTATTGCTGGAGTTATTTTTCTCTTTCACTATCCTCAGGGCTTAACAACATGGGCTGGCTGTCACTCTCCTCCTTCCTCCTCTCCCCTCTTCCCCCCCACACAAACACCCCCATTTACTTTACCGTGAGATGGCCCCCCCACCCCCCCACCCCGTAAAAGCAAAAAAAAAAAAAAAGGTGGAAGTCTGGTGAACCTTCGTCTGGCGTCACTGAGAACATTTGAAGGGAACGCCAGGCTTAAAGATATATCCTAATGTGTTTAAATGTCATGGTAAGGTTTTTTTTTTTATCTTGTCCTTGCTCATAGGTTATATAGACGTGGTGTCGACTCTGTCTGTCTGTCTGTCTGTCTGTCTGTCTGTCTATTGGTTGATGGTATGGAATATTTCTCTCTCTCGCCACCATTACACTACACTACACTACACTACAGTTACACTACACTACACTACACTACACTACACTACACTATACTACAGGCAATAAAACCTATCACCTTTGTCCTCGGGTAAGTATACAGTACCATTACCTTGAGTACGATGAATTAATGTCTTGAGTACGATGAATTAATGTCTTGAGTACGATGATTTATCTTGAGTACGATAAATTAATCCCTACAGTACGATTACACAACCCCTTAAGTTATTAATTCATTATGCTCAAGGGGTTAAGTCATTGTACTCAAAGGGGTTAAATCGTACGACTCAAAGGGGTTAAATCGTACGACTCAAAGGGGTTAAATCGTACGACTCAAAGGGGTTAAATCGTACGACTCAAAGGGGTTAAATCGTACGACTCAAAGGGGTTAAATCGTACGACTCAAAGGGGTTCGTCGTACGACTCAAAGGGGTTAAATCGTACGACTCAAGAGTTAAATCGTACTCAGTGAAATTAAAAAAATAACCTTCCTGCAGCAGCTAAGAGAGAGAGAGACTGACCCTATTTCTACCTCCCTTCCGAAGCGGTAGTGAAGTCGACCCTCTGGAGGATCTCTATGACGTCGCAGCGTTTCAAGGGCGTTCGTAAAGTTCTCCCAATGTTGCATCAGCTGAGCTACAGTGTGGACGAGGCCTCTCTCTCTCTCTCTCTCTCTCTCTCTGGACCGTACTCAACAAACCACAAATACCTTCCTACACCTCACCTGACACACCAACAAGTAGCACACCTTTAATTAGCAGCAGGTGAACCATTAATTTGTACCCACTGACTCTTTTATCATTAATAAAACACAGAGTTAGGACCCAGACATGACATTTTATGCCTCTGAATGCATCACCAGTGGACGAGTGAGGCATCAGACACGTCATAGAAGCATTAGAGGCATCAAACATGTCATAGAAACATAAAACACGTTATAAGAGGCATCAAACACATCACAGTCATCAAACACATCACACAGTCATCAAACACGTCACAAAGGCATCAAACACGTCACAAAGGCATCAAACACATCACACAGTCATCAAACACATCACACAGTCATCAAACACGTCACAAAGGCATCAAACACGTCACAAAGGCATCAAACACGTCACAAAGGCATCAAACACATCACACAGTCATCAAACACATCACACAGTCATCAAACACATCACACAGTCATCAAACACATCACACAGTCATCAAACACATCACACAGTCATCAAACACGTCACAAAGGCATCAAACACATCACACAGTCATCAAACACATCACACAGTCATCAAACACATCACACAGTCATCAAACACATCACACAGTCATCAAACACATCACACAGTCATCAAACACGTCACACAGTCATCAAACACGTCATAAAGTCATCAAACACGTCACAAAGGCATCAAACACGTCACAAAGGCATCAAACACGTCACAAAGGCATCAAACACGTCACAAAGGCATCAAACACGTCACAAAGGCATCAAACACGTCACAAAGGCATCGGCACGTCACAAAGGCATCAGAAAAAAACACGTCCACAAAGGCATCAAACACGTCACAAAGGCATCAGAAAAGCACACGTCTGCGGGCATCAAACACGTCTACAAAGGCATCAAACACGTCACAAAGTCATCAAACACATCACACAGTCATCAAAACACATACATCACACAGTCAATACATCACACAGTCATCAAACACATCACAAAGGCATCAAACACATCACAGTCATCAAACACATCACACAGTCATCAAACACATCACACAGTCATCAAACACGTCACAGAGGCATTAAAAGACACATCACACAGTCATCAAACACGTCACAAAGGCATCAAACACGTCACAAAGGTATCAAACACGTCACATAGTCATCAAAAACACGTCACAAAGGCATCAAACACGTCACAAAGGCATCAAACACGTCACACAGTCATCAAACACGTCAGAAAGGCATCAAACACGTCACAAAGGCATCAAACACGTCACAAAGGCATCTAAACACGTCACAAAGGCATCAAACATTTTCAAAGGCATCAAACACGTCATAAAGTCATC